ACTCTCAATGGTGCAGCGATAAAAATTAAGCACAATCTTAGAGTTAGTGGTAAATTCTCTAAGTTTACGCAGAAAGTAGAGACGCTGACGAGCTTTCTTAACGACTCGGTCAGTGTTTTTAACCCATTTCAGGTTAGACAGAGTTAAACCCAGAAACTTGCACTCCTCTACGATCTGCACCTGGGAGTTGTCGATTACGACAGGCAAATGAGAACTATTGCGACTGAAGTCGTAGACCAGTTCACATGTTTTGGATGCGTTCAACTGGAGGTTGTTAGTTTGACTCCACTGAACCACATTTTGTATCTCTGCTCTATAAGAGGATTCATCAGTGTCACTGATGAGACCGATGATGGTGGTGTCATCAGCATATTTGATGATCAAGTTTGAGTCAGAGGAGGACACACAATCGTGAGTGTACAAAGTAAAAAGCAAAGGACTCAAAATACATCCTTGAGGAGAACCAGTGCTCACAGAAACAACATCAGAAAAACACTCATTGATTTTCACTCTCTGAGATCTGTCAGTTAAAAAGCTAAAAATCCATTTACACATGGCAACACTTAAACCCAGAGACATGAGCTTTTCAATCAGTTTACCTGGGACAAGGCAGTTAAAAGCAGAGCTATAATCGATGAAAAGCATTCTGGCCACAGATTTACTAGTGTCCAAGTGACTGTAGACAGAGTTCAGAGCAAAGGAGATGGCATCCTCCACACTCCTGTTCTGTCTGTAAGCAAACTGGAGCGGGTCAACACTCACAGGGATCTGGCTCTTAATGAAGTCCAGCACAAGCCGCTCAAAAGTTTTCATGAGAACAGACGTGAGGGCCACAGGACGATAGTCATTCAGGCATGTCACAGGAGTTTTCTTAGGAACTGGAATGATGGTCGACTCTTTAAAGCAGTTCGGCACAGTACAGTTCCTTAGCGACAGGTTGAAAATATTCATTTTGCCTGAACCCATATTGACTATCAGACAATATTTTTTGTTTTTCAATAAAACCCCGGAGTCTTGTGTCATATATTTTTTCTAATATTTTGGAGAACTGAGGCAGAAGAGACACAGGTCTGTAGTTATTAAAACAGTTTTTATCTCCTGATTTAAAAAGTGGGATAACTTTTGCCATTTTCATTTTGGAGGGGAAGTGGCCGAGTTGAAAGGATAAATTACAGATGTATGTAAATGGATCAGTAATTTCATCTGCAACATTTCGTATGGTTTTCATATCAATATTGTTTATGTCACGTGATGTTTTGTTCTTACATTTTTTTATTACACTTAGTACCTCTCTTGTGTCAGTGGGAGTCAGGAACATTGAGTTAGAGTTAGTTTTAATTAGACTCTTTAGCTGCTTTTTATTGTCTGGTATGTTTCGAGCCAACTCGGGTCCAACATTAACAAAGAAATTATTAACCTCTTAAGCCCAGAGGCCTTTTTTCCCGAAAAAGCTATAATCTACATTTACTAAGGTTTCATATAGTATTTAGCCAGATATGTGGCCAAACTTGGTACCAAATTACCTGGTGGACCTTGGGGATTGCTGTGGAAGTGAAAAAAGATGATAAATTGTATTGGTTGCCAATAAAATTAGGTTGAAACAGACAATTCTAACTTCCGCCTAAAACAAAAAACACCTATTTTCCCTCAAAAAAGCTTTTTCCGTCTGTGGTGTAGCAAATAAGAACTAAAATTGACAGTTCCCGATATTTTGGACCAGTCCAGCAAAAATTGTGCCAAATAAACAAACCACTGCAGAGTTGTACATGGAATTGGAAAAAAAGTCCAGGCGGAATCCAACTGTGCCAAAATTGTGCCAAATGGCACAAACATGTCTGTAGAGTCATCGAGATAAACTTTGGCACCCGGTTCCCTAGCAAGAAGCTCTACAACCTCCTCGCGTGTATAACGCTGTTTTGCCATTTTTAATTTCGTCAAAATTCCGAGTACCTGCCGTGCGTAAAGGCTTTGCGCACAGCCTCCTTCTGCCCCAACTATACGCATGTACACGCCTCCGCGGTACTTTGGCCAATCAGGGCATGTCATACCATTTTGGAAAGAACACACCTTCGGCTATCAAAAACCATTGAAAACGTATTGATGGACAGCACCTGTGGCCAATCACAGGAAGAGATACACAGAGGTACGTGACATGACGCACGGGTGCAGCCTATCACAAAGGGCCTCTTACAGAAGGAGGAAGTAACTGGTATCTGCCAGGTCGCTAGAAAGCCTCGCTATGAGGTTGAATACAAGAAAAAACTGACTTTTATTCCTATGGAAATGACTTGTGATGAAAAAACAGCAAAAGTAAGTCGACTTTTACTTCAACGCTGATGTTTTACGGCTTTGTTTTCTGGCATTCGTCTGCGGCTTGGTCAGCGAGTGTTAGAGGTAGCGTTACCAGCCTCATAGCGTTGTGTTCAGCTCGGAGAGGGCTTTCTAATGGTGTGCTGACAGCAGGACTACTTATTGTTTTGAGGGCGCTTGTGACGCCAAAGCAAACATTTGATTCGACATGTGCTTTATGACGATTTGTCAGATTGTGGTTTGTTGTTTGAACCTGGGTCTGTTGAACTGAAATTGAAGTGGATAATGTTGTAGCTGAGAGTTGTCCGAACACGAGGATGTGAAACATGTGATTGTCAGTTGTTGTATCTGTCAGCTATGGTCCGGACAAGCTGCAGCAAGGGGGGGCGGACCCCAAATGGGGGGCAATCGGGTTGAAGAGCGATCATCTTTTTGTCGCTTATAATTGTTCCATTCTCCACAAAATAATCTGGATAACAGCGGCTGTTAGAACCACGACCCATTACAGTATTCAGTACATTCCAAATTCCTTTAATGTCATTTCTCTTTTTCACAATTAAATTGGTGTAATATTCTTTTTTACTTACCCTTAGTATGTTGGTTAATTTATTTTTGTATGTTTTGTACTTTTGTTCGCTCTCTCTAGTTCTATACTTTAAAAATTGCCTATACAGATAATTTTTCTTTTTGCAGGAGTTCACTAGCCCTTTTGTCATCCAGGGAGTTTTTGTGGAGATTCCAGTTTTACACTTAACGATCGGACAGTGTTTGTTGTACAGTGTGACAAAGATGTCAAGAAACAAATTATAAGCTGCATTTACCTCGGACATTTCATAAATACATTCCCAGTTTGTATTTGCCAAATCATTTTTAAAAGCAAACATTGTTTGTTCAGTTGTAACTCTGCGGTAACAGTCGCTATTTACAGCTTTTGTTATTTTACAGTTTATATTGTACAACATGAAGACAGGTACAGTGCCTTGCGAAAGTATTCGGCCCCCTTGAACCTTTCAATATTTTGCCACATTTTAGGCTTCAAACATAAAGATATAAAAAAAATTGTTTTTGTCATGAATCAACAACAAGTGGGACACAATCGTGAAGTGGAACGAAATTTATCGGATAATTTAAACTTATAAAAATAATAAAAAACTGAAAAGTGGGGCGTGCAATATTATTCGGCCCCTTTACTTTCAGTGCAGCAAACTCAGTCCAGAAGTTCAGTGAGGATCTTTGAATGATCCAATGTTGTCCTAAATGACTGATGATGATAAATAGAATGCACCTGTGTGTAATCAAGTCTCAGTATAAATGCACCTGCTCTTTGATAGTCTCAGCGTTCTGTTTAAAGCGCAGAGAGAACCATGAAGACAAAGGAACACACCAGGCAGGTCCGAGATACTGTTGTGGAGAAGTTTAAAGCCGGATTTGGATACAAAAAGATTTCCCAAGCTTTAAACATCTCAAGGAGCACTGTGCAAGCAATTATATTGAAATGGAAGGAGTATCAGACCACTGCAAAATCTACCAAGACCCGGCCGTCCCTCCAAACTTTCATCTCAAACAAGGAGAAGACTGATCAGAGATGCAGCCAAGAGGCCCATGATCACTCTGGATGAACTGCAGATAACTACAGCTGAGGTGGGAGAGTCTGTCCATAGGACAACAATCAGTCGTGCACTGCACAAATCTGGGCTTTATGGAAGAGTGGCAAGAAGAAAGCCATTTCTCAAAGATATCCATAAAAAGTCTTGTTTAAAGTTTGCCACAAGCCACCTGGGAGACACACCAAACATGTGGAAGAAAGTGCTCTGGTCAGATGAAACAAAAATCAAACTTTTTGGCCACAATGCAAAACAATATGTTTGGCGTAAAAGCAACACAGCTCATCACCCTGAACACACCATCCCCACTGTCAAACATGGTGGTGGCAGCATCATGGTTTGGGCCTGCTTTTCTTCAGCAGGGACAGGGAAGATGGGAAGATGGATGGAGCCAAATACAGGACCATTCTGGAAGAAAACCTGTTGGAGTCTGCAAAAGACCTGAGACTGGGACGGAGATTTATCTTCCAACAGGACAATGATCCAAAACATAAAGCCAAATCTACAATGGAATGGTTCACAAATAGACGTATCCAGGTGTTAGAATGGCCAAGTCAAAGTCCAGACCTGAATCCAATCGAGAATCTGTGGAAAGAGCTGAAGACTGCTGTTCACAAACGCTCTCCATCCAACCTCACTGAGCTCCAGCTGTTTTGGAAGGAAGAATGGGCAAGAATTCCAGTCTCTCGATGTGCAAAACTGATTGAGACATACCCCAAGCGACTTGCAGCTGTAATTGCAGCAAAAGGTGGTGCTACAAAGTATTAGCACAAGGGGCCCGAATAATATTGCACACCCCACTTTTCAGTTTTTTATTTGTTAAAAAAGTCTAAATTATCCAATAAGTTTCGTTCCACTTCACGATTGTGTCCCACTTGTTGATTCTTGACAAAAAATTTAATTTTTATATCTTTATGTTTGAAGCCTGAAATGTGGCGAAATGTTGAAAGGTTCAAGGGGGCCGAATACTTAAAGCAAATGCAAAAAGTATCCAAAAATACAATGGTAATATACTAATAACAGCTAAAACAAACTTTCTGGTGCCTCCCAGCCCACTTCCTCCTTTCCCCGCAGCCGCTTCCCGGCTTAGACCCTGAAAGGGGCCGTGAAGCGGTCTCTGTGAGGGGCTGTGAAGCAGTCTCTGTGAGGGGCCGTGAAGCGGTCTCTGTGAGGGTCTGTGAAGCAGTCTCCCTCTGAGTTAACTCTTCCCTTTCTTTTAGCAGACAAAAGCCACAGAGGTGAAGTGTGCGCTTCCTTCCACCCTCTAGTCTTGTCACTGCCCCCACTGCCTGGAGGCACGAGTCCCGAGGCCTCTTGAGACCTGGTTCCCTGAGTGGGACGACCCAGTGCCCACGCCGCCTCGCCTGCTGAGGCAGGGACATTTTTTTACAACCCCTCTCTTCTGAATTGTTCCCCTGAAGTTGTTGGCTGTTCAAACGCCAGGCGATGGAAGGGTTGTTTCCAATCCTGCTCCGTGAAGAGATCTCCTCCAGTCTCTTACAACTGGAGTTTTTATTGCCTTCCAGTAAAATGCACCTGACCAAATATGGCCCTCATCATCTGTCACTATTCCCCCGTGTCACCTCTTTTACGCCCCTGCTTCCTCAGAGAAAGAACTTTCCAGTATGTAGCTCTCACAGAGTTACATAATCACTGCTTTTGTCATACAGTCTCGTTATACATACAAGAGTGGAAAACATTTCTATAAGAGCAAAAACACACATTTCATAATGCTTTGGTTACATGAGAATATAAAACACAACATAATGTGATATAAAATGAGCAGAGTCTACAAAAAGCCCTTCTAACCCTCTTTCACCATCCATCCATTTCCTGTCCCGTTATAAGTATTTAATCTCAGTATTGGGCCAGACGACAGGTGCGGCTCACGTTCCAACTCTGGCTCAAGCACTACAACTACCACAAGACATTTTTTCTTCAGAGACGACATAGATAAAAATAGAGATGTGGAGAAAAGTAAAAATGACCCGGGTTACACAAGTCTTTACAAGTCAATAGGCACAAGTCCAAGTGAAAGTCAGAGTCATTGATATTAAAGTCTAAGTCGAGTCTAAAGTCATCAAATTCATGACTGGAGTCTGACCCGAGTCCAAGTCACATGAGTCAGGTCCACACCTCTGGTTAAGACTGAAGTGTGATCCTGTAGAGTCTGACTCTGGGTTCACATGATGCAGCCTCAGCTCTGTCTCCTTCACTTTGTTCCAGATGCTTCACACCTGCTCCTTACAGGTTTTAATGTGTCGAATAAGAGATGACCTTTGAGCAAAAGACTTTCCACACTTTTCACAGAGAAATGGTTTCTCCCCAGTGTGGATCCTCTTATGACGTTTGAGAAAACTGCTCTGAGTAAAACTCTGATCACAAACGTCACATTTGTACGGCTTCTCTCCAGTGTGGCTCCGATGGTGACGTGTGCGCTCTGATGCAGTTGTAAAAGTTCTACTGCAGAAGTCACATGCATATGGTTTTTCTCCAGTGTGAAGTCTCTCATGACATTTGTAGTGTGAAATCACAGTAAACTCCTTCCCACATTCTCCACAGACGAATGGTTTCTCTCCTGTGTGTGTTCTGTAGTGCTGAGTGAGGCTAGATAAACGTGTAAAAGTCTTTTCACACTGGTCACACCGATGAAGTTTCTCTCCTGTGTGGACACGCTGATGTAGTGAGAGGTAGTGTTTTGCCCTAAATGTTTTTCCACACTCGTCACACTCAAATGGTTTCTCTCCTGTGTGGATCATCTGATGTTCTTTCAGAGCATGTTTTTTTCTGAAACTCTGATCACAAACGTCACAGCTGAAGGGCTTTTCTCCAGTGTGGATTCTGCTGTGGACCTTAAGATTTTCTGCTAGAGTAAACCCTTTTCCACACTGATCACACTTGTATGGTTTTTCTCCAGTGTGAGTTCTGTAGTGCTGAGTGAGTTTAGATAAACATGTGAAAGTCTTTTCGCACTGGTCACACTGATGAAGTTTCTCTCCTGTGTGGACACGCTGATGTACTGAGAGGTAGTATTTGGTCCTAAATATTTCTCCACACTGGTCACACTCAAATGGTTTCTCTCCTGTGTGGATACTCTGATGTTCTTTGAGAGAATTCTCATGTCTAAAACTCTGACCACAAACATCACAGCTGAAGGGCTTTTCTCCAGTGTGGATTCTGCTGTGGCTCTCAAGATGTGCTGCTTGAGTAAAACCTTTTCCACACTGATCACACTTGTATGGTTTTTCTCCAGTGTGGATTCTGTAGTGGATCTTTAGTACAGAGGCAAAGCTGCAGGTCTTCCCACACTGATCACACACGTATGGTTTTTCTCCAGTGTGAGTTCCACAGTGTCTCTTTAGTTCAGAAGCAGAGCTGCAGTTCTTCCCACACTGATCACAGGTGAACCCTGTTCTGCCGATGGACTTTGTAGATCTGCAAACAAAGAGTAAAGTATTGCATTACTGTTTCACTTTAGTCGTTTCTTACTCGATTAGACCTAAACAGAAATCACAGGTCCAGAACTGACCTTGTTGTCTGTGAACAGTGGAAGGAATTATCTCATGCTTGGTCTTTTGTTATTTCTGCCTTAAACTTCTTATTAAAGATGAATAGTGTCAGTAACATGCACCTTATGGTCTCCTCACTGAGTGCACACAGGACAAGTGCGCCCTCTGCTGGCGGCAACTAACATGACAACAGATAATAAACTGCATATAACACGTATATAACACAATAATGAGACTGCTACTATGTCTGTGTAGCACTTATGGTGCTATCTGTGCCCTTATGTAGTAAAGGATGGACTGAAGGGACAATTGGGCTAGATCAGATAGATTCGAGATTCGGAGGAGCCTAGGGTGTACAACATCAAAGGACACACACATACACAAGGAGTTGCAGAAAAATAATGAACGTTTACTCTGCAAATTTAGTTTAAGAGTAATTATGTACAAAAGGGAACACAATTGCGCGCTTTGAAAAATAAAATAAAAATACCCCCCAAAATTTTTGTAAAGTCCATTCAATGTTCGTCTAGTCTTTCAATGTTCGTTTAGTCTTTCAATGTTCGTTTGTAACAGTAACCAGTCGGGTTACAAATACCAGTCACTGTGGTTCGGGCTATGGCTCGCCATCCAGATCTGGAGCCTCTTCTTGAAATGGATCCACACAAAAAACCTGACCATGCTACATCCCCGTGGGACACAGGGTTTCCCAGCTAGCGTGGGTTCACAGCCTTTGGGACTCAGTATCTATCACCGTGTATTTTCACCAAAAAGGCAGCTACTAACACGTTAGCTTCCCCGGAGCAGGTACAAGGTCTCTCTCTGTCTGCGTCTCTGACGAGCACGTACAGAGGACGTAGAGGTTAGGAGAGGAGACTTGACCTTATTGGCTAATGATGATTTTATACTATAGCGCAATTGGCTGCTCGGGGTGTCAACCAAATATATTTTTTTTACGTCTTTTTAACAATATTTATCAATTTATATTTATATACTTTTTGTCAATATTTATTATTATGAAATTTTAATCAGTAATATTTTTAATCACGTTTTTAACACTGGGTTACACTATCCCCCTTTAGAATCATGCAAGTCCCTTTGCATGGGATGGCTGAATAGTAATAACCTTAGAATTGGTATTCATGGGAATCATTTTAGGCTCTGGCTCTGTTAAGGCACTAGTAAAAGCTAAGCTTAGTCCTTGAAACAGGGACTGGGCAATGGAAATGAGAGGATTTCCCAACTGACTATATTGCAGTCGTTCTGGTTGGGTTGTTGTTCTCTCAGAGCGCCTCACAGTCTTTGTGGTTTCACTGTCAGTTTTTGACTGACTCGATTCGGTTTGATTGTCATTTGATCCTTTTTTTTCCACAGGTCCATCCGGTAAGTTGGTTCCATTTTCCATTTCATTGTCATTGTTTGTTTCCTCAATTGTTTCGTTTTCCTCCAGATTTCCATCATCCAATAAGTTGTCATTTCCAGATAAGTTGTCACATCCAGGTAAATTGTCACTTCCAGGTAAGTTGTCACATCCAGGTAAATTGTCATTTCCAGGTAAATCGTCATTCTCAGATAAGTGAGTTTCAGCAGGATTTGGATCTTCAGAGCATGTCTTTGCTTTGGGAATTTCATAAACTCGAGTGACCGTTATGGGCTCTTGGATAGATTCCTCTCTGAACCAATAGACTGACTCATTTTCGGTTTCTGAATTTTCACATTCTTCATCTTGTCCAGGCGATTGTCTCGTTTTTGGTTTGTGGACACGAGTTGGCTGGACAGGCTTCTCTTCGACAGGGGAAAGAAAACCACAGGGGAGTAAGAGATCGCGGTGGACTGTGCGAACTGGCCCTTCTTTTGTTTCAGGTTTTATAGTGTAAACGGGCAAGTCACCTGCTTGGTTCACCACAATGTGAATATCTGTCTCCCACCTGTCTGCTAGTTTGTGCTTGCCTCTGAGGCGAACTGCACGAACCAAAACTCTGTCGCCCGGTTCTAGTCTTGAAGGTTTCACTCGCATGTCAAATCTTGTTTTGTTTCTTTCTGCCATTTTGTTAGCGCTTTCTGCTGCTATTTTATAGCTTTCCTTTAGCGTAGTCTTTAGTTTTTCGATGTACTGAGAATGTGACTTGAAACTTTTGTTGAGAAAGGGAAGTCCAAATGCTAAATCAACGGGCAATCTTGGCTGACGACCGAACATCAATTCGTACGGGGCAAACCCAGTTGTGTCATTTTTCGTACAATTGTACGCATGAACGAGTGGTTTGACATAGTTGTGCCACTGAGTTTTGTCTTTTTCCTCCAGAGTACCGAGCATGCTCAATAACGTTCTGTTGAAGCGTTCTACTGGGTTCCCTCTGGGGTGATACGGTGTCGTTCGAATTTTTCGAATGCCCATGATTTTGCAAAGTTCTTGAATGATGTGGGACTCAAAATCGGGACCCTGATCGCTATGTAACCGCTCGGGTATCCCGTAATGGACAATGAAGTTGTCCCAAAGTGCTTTTGCGACGGTCTGAGCTTTCTGATTGCTTGTAGGGATGGCTATCGCATATTTTGTGAAATGATCGGTTAATACGAGCACATCCTTTGTATTACTTCGGTCGGGCTCAATGGACAGGAAGTCCATACAAACTAATTCAAGTGGTCGGGTGGACTTAATATTGACCAGCGGGGCCGCTTTTTCGGGAGGAGTCTTACGTCTTACACAGCGATTGCATGCTTTGATCTTATTTTCAATGTATGTCGCCATGCGAGGCCAATAAAATCTTGTTCTGGCAAGATCTAAAGTACGCTCAGTCCCTAAATGGCCCATGTCAAAATGGAGACTTTGGAAGACAGAATCGCGTAGCTGTTCAGGTAAGACAAGTTGGTAAGTAACATTTCCTCCGTCTTGGCGTGTTCGGTACAGGATGTTATTGTGCATCTCAAGTCGATTGAGCTCTCGAAGTAACAGATTGATGTCAGGAAGTTCAGTTCGTACGGTAGGTGGAACTTTTTCACCAGTTTCGATTTGAGTGATGACTTCTCTTATACAGGGATCAGTTCTTTGTT